TAGATAGATAGATAGATAGATAGATAGATAGATAGATAGTGTGTGTGTGTGTGTGTGTGTGTGTGTGTGTGTGTGTGTAGTCTTCAAGGCTAAAACTTATACAAATTTTGTAATTCCATCAGTTTTTTTCATGATAAGTAATAGAAAAGAAGCATATCTTTATTTTCCATCCCGAACCAACCCAGCGATGCCCTCGATGTGATGGCCCGGTGCCTGGAAGCAGTATGGGTCTGGATGGGTAGAAACAGACTGCAACTCAACCCGGCCAAGACCGAGTGGCTGTGGGTACCAGCATCTTGGTTCAGGGGAGAGGTGTCATCGCTGACTATAGGGGGGGAAGTTTTGCCCCTTGTAGACAGGGTGCGCAACTTGGGGGTCCTCCTGGATTCATGGTTGAGCTTAGAAGATCATATAACGACCATGACCAGGGGGACATTTGCTCAGATACGTCTGGTGCACCACTTGTGTCCCTACTTGGACCGAGATGCCCTATGCACAGTTACTCATGTGCTGGTCACTTCACGGATTGACTACTGCAACACTCTCTACATGGGGCTGCCCTTGAGGACCACTCGGAGGCTTCAGCTGGTGCAAAATGCAGCCACGTGGGTTGTGATGGGAGAATCCTGATACTCCCATGCTACACCTCTCCTGCGTGGCTTGCATTGGTTACCGGTTGCCCTCCGGGTGAGATTCAAGCTGCTGGTGATGACCTATACAGCCCTACATGGCTTAGGACCAGGATATTTGGTGGACCACCTACAACCAGCAATGATATCCCATCGCCCGGTTTGTGCCCATAGAGAGGGCCTGCTCAAGGTGCCGTCAGCTAGACAGTGCCAGCTGGTGGCCCCCTTTCTCGGTGGGTGCACCCTCTGGAATCAACTTCCCTTGGAGCTCCGATTAGCCCCTGAACTTTGCACCTTCCATCGTGAATTAAAAACTTGGCTTTTTAAATCGCTTGACCTGGTCTGATGGGGTTTTTTTAAGGGTTAAATTTTAAATTTTTAGATTTTATTTTGCATTGTGGCTTGTGTTTTTATTATTGTGAGTTGCCCTGAGTCCATTGGGAGATAGGGCGGCATATAAGCCAAATAAAATAAATAAATAAATAAATAAATAAATAAATATCTTGTCAAGTACCACAGATCCATAGAATTAGTTGTAAAGTCCTTTAGATCCCAGCTCCGTGTTAATTTTTTATGTCTAGTTATTTTATCTTTTACATCTGTATTTATTGAAACCTAAATAAGATCATTCATATACAATTTACATTCCAGCCAGATTGTTCCTATTTTAAATATACACACATTCATAAATGCCACAGATTTTATATGTGGAAAATGAAATAGAGAAGATAGATAGTTTGCTTTTTAGACAGAAATCCATAAATGTTGTATAAAATAAGTAAATGTTGGCTCATGGATTCATAACTCTACAATTTAGAGTTTACTGAAAAGACTCACTTTATATTTAATGGGAGACCAATGAGCATGCTTCATTATTTGCTTTTGTTCAAAATTAAATTCCTGTGTATTAAAAATAAATTCTAGGAAATGACAGTTTGTATGACTGACCCTTATATACTTATATGTATATCAGATAGAGTATAATCTGATTGAGATATTATAGTGTATGTATGCTATAATAATTGATTATGGATATGAAATTATAAATGGCAAGTAAGTTAATAAGCTACTTGACTGCTTTATCCAAATTGTGATATTGAACGAAGAGATAATATTTGTGCAATATATACATTTACTACACACTAAACCTGAACACACATCACTTTCCCTCAATTAATTCTGCCTGTGTAGACTAATCCTAACCCTATGTGGACCAAGAACCTGTGAAACTGTTCAGAATAGTGGCTGCTGCATGAAATCCTAAATCTAAACAACACTTAAACTGAAAAGATTAAAATTAGTTATTAGCTGTCTGTAAAGAAACCTTAAGGTATAAGAAGATGAATTAAAATTGTAAAATTAATAGAGAATGATAGATTATATCAGCATAGTGGCAATTATTCATGCTTACCTTCAGTAATACAGCAAGGAAAAATAATAGTCAGCAGTGAAAATATTTTTTTTTTAATTTTGTGTCTTCAAAATCTTTAAGAGACCTAAATGAAACAGCATATTAACGGATCTTAATTCTAAAGATATGGAACAAATGAACAATCCATTGATTCTCATTATCTTTAGGTTAAAACTTTTTAAAGAAAATGCTTACTATTAATATGTATTGAATCTCTTCAGAAAAATAATTAAACTTTAAGCATTCTTACCAAGTGCTGAGTGTAATTAAGGAACAATTTAATACCATTCTGCAGTAACATATGCGTAGGAATATTTACAAGTGATATTCTTACTGCCTAAAACATTTTTCAAAAATAAGCTTCGGCACTGACAGCAAACCTATAATTATTGTTTCTTTCTTATATGCCTCATGTGCATTTGCCAAAAATATCAAACTATCCTTTGAGCATTAATTAGGATGCTGCTACCAGGAATTTAAGAGACTAAAAATATGGAAATACTTATTGTATTTCATAAATACTATGTGCTGCATAAAATTATTATTTTATTATTTTTATTTTTATTTCTTTTATATTGTGCTTTTATTCTTCGTAAGCTGCCTTCAGTCACCATGTATGAGTAAGCAGCAATACAAATTTTATAAATGAATGAATGAATGAATGAATGAATGAATAAGACAATTTATTCCAGTAGATGTCGATGCTTTTTAGAAGTCCAGTACAATATGTGTTCTGTGATCAATCAGAAGAACATTTAGACAAATTAATCCCAAAAGTCCCCCTGGCCACAACCGTCAGATGTTCCTCCAAGGACAACTGCGTATCCAGAAGGACTCCCAGATTGCGAGCCCTCTCCGAGGGGCCAAAGACTCACCCCCAATAGTCAGAGATGGAGTCATCTGACTATATCGGGATGCCGGGAACCACAGCCACTCAGTCTTGGAAGGGTTGAGTTTGAGCCGGTTTCTCCCCATCCAGATCTGCACAGCCTCCAGGCACCGGGACATTACTTCAAGGGCATTGTTGGGGTGGCCAGGGGTGGAGATGTACAGTTGGGTGTCATCAGCGTACTGGTGGTACTTCACCCCAAAGCCATGGATGATCTCACCCAGCAGCTTCATATAAATGTTGAACAGAAGGGGCGAGAGAACCGACCCCTGAGGCACTCCACATATGAGAGGCCTCGAGGTCGACCTCTGCCCCCTGCCAACACAAACTGCGACCGGTCAGGGAGAAAGGAGGAGAACCACCATAGCATGGTGCCCTCCATCCCCAACTCTTCCAACCGGTGCAGCATGATACCATGGTCGATGGTATCAAAAGCCGCTGAGAGGTCTAACGGGGCCAGAACAGAGGAGCAACCTCTGCCCCAAGCCCTCCAGAGATCATCTACCAACACGACCAATGCCATTTCTGTGCTGTGCCCGGGCCTGAAACCCGGCTGGAATGGATCTAGATAAGAATATTTTAATGGAATAGCAGATGAAAAATTGGACTATAAAACAACAAAAACAGGAAAGCATAATAGAAAAACACTGCCCAATTCTTTCTTTAAAATGATAGAGGAAATAAATTTGAAAGATATATGGAGAGTTAGAAGTGGGAAGAATAGACAATACACTTTCTAGTCAAACAGACACTCATCTTGGTCCAGGTTAAATATCATATGGACAACAATGGACTTGATTCTGAAAATTGAACAGGTGGAAATAGACACTAATTTATGGGCTGACTATAATCCAGTGATAGTAATTTGGAAAGGTCAAAAAAGGAAAGCTAATGGACTTCAAATAATACAATTTTAAAAGAAAAAGAATTTGTACAGAAAATGCAAAGAGAGCTGGAGTTTTTCTTTAAGGAGAATAAAAAGGAAGATACATAGATACAAAACCATTGGGATACAATGAAGGCCTACGCTAGAGGTATAATAATAGATTATATTAAAAAAAGGAATGTAAAAAAAAGATAGACTTTTACAATATTAAAGAATGAATAAAAGAGATTTGAAAAGGAACTTCAGAAAGATCCACATAAGAAAGATGTAAAAATGAAAATGGATATGTTAAAACATAAAATGGATTTACTGGAGAAGGAAGAGCTAGTCCAAAAAATAAGAAGTGCTAAACAGAATTATTTTGAAAATGCAAATAAACCAGGAAGGTGGCTAGCATATAAATTGAAAAAAGAAAAGGAATAAAAAAAAATAATGCAACTGATTGATGACCAAGGACAAAGTAAATTTGGAAACAAAGAGATGGGGAAAATAATACAAGAATATTATAGGCAACTTTATAAAAGAGAGCAGGTTGAAGAGGGGAAAGTTAAAAAATACCTACAGAACGCAAAACTACCTTTGATCCCCAAGACATTGAAGAAATGCTAGATGGGCATATAACAATGATGGAACTAACAGAAGCAATTAAGAAACAAAAAAATGGAAAGACACCAGGACCAGACAGTTTGCCTGTTGAATATTATAAGACATTACAAGAATCCTATGTCTCCAACTTTTTGACGTTATGAATGAAGTAATGATAAATAAAACAATACCCCAATGGACTGAGGCCTATATCACACTGATTCAGAAAGAAGACACAGACCCACAGCAAGTTAAAAATTATAGGCCTATATCTCTGCTAAATTCGGATTATAAAATCTTTGCTTCAATACTGGCAGAAAGACTTAAGAGATACTTGAATAACTTTATATATCCAGATCAAAATGGATTTCTTCCAAAAATACAAATTAGAGACAATATAAGAATAATTTTGAATACCGTAGAATATTATGAAGCGCGCCCTGAAAAACAAATTGTATTCTTAGACGCACAAAAAGCATTTGACAATGTGAATTGGAGATTTACGATGTTACAAATGGAAGAGATGGGCTTTGGAAGGAAATTTATTCAGGCAATTGAAGCTATATATATGAAACAGATGGCAAAGGTAATGATTAATGGAAAATTGACTGATGCTATTGAAATAGAAAAAGGTACTTGACAAGGATATCCCTTATCCCCATTGCTATTTATATTGACGTTGAAAGTGCTGAATAGAAATGTTAGAGAAGAAAAAGAGATAAAAGGAATAAAAATTAGAAAGGAAGAATATAAATTACAAGCTTTTGCTGATGACCTGGTTTTTATTATTGAAGAACCATTAACATCAATAAATAAATTGATAGAAAAAATAGGTGAATTTGGGGAGGTTGCTGGTTTGAAAATTAATAAAGAGAAGACGAAGATAATGACCAAAAATATGTTAAAAAAACAAAAAGAAGAACTGAGGGAGATCTCTAAGATGCAGGTCACAAATAAGGTAAAATACTTGGGGATTCAATTAACAGCAATGTAGTTCTCTTAAAGAAAATAATTATAATAAGCTCAAGCAACAGATAGGACAGGATTTGGTGAAATGGGGAAACTTGCAGCTATCTTTGATGGGTAGAATTACAACTATTAATATAAATATTTTACCTAGAATCTTGTATCTTTTTCAGACAATTCCTGTAAAGCTGGGTAAGGAATTTTTTTCAGACTTAAATAAAATGATTTTGAAATATGTTTGTCAGGGAAAGAAGGCAAGGATAAACTCAAACTGTTACAAGATGCTAAGATGAGGGGTGGTTTTAGATTACCGAATTTTGAACTATACTATCAAGTGGTTTGTTTAATGTGGATTAAAGAATGGGTAACATTGAAAAACACTAGATTATTAAATTTGGAGGGACATTATTTGCTGATGGGATGGCATGCTTTCTTATGGTATAAAGGAACTAAAATTCAGGGGTATTTTAGAAGACATCAGATACGTGAAGCTTTGTTTTTGACATGGGAGAAGATCGAAAACTACCGTTATTTGAAGATTCCAGTCTGGGTATCTACAATTGAAGCTTTTTCTTATCCAGTGGTATTTAGAGGGGAGCAAATTGTTAGATATAATGAATTATTGGATGAAAAGAGTGAACTTAAATTGAAACAAAATTTAGAAGATCAGGGAATTAAGATAGATTGGTTTTCATACATGCAAATACTTTCCAGATATCGAGAAGACTTTAAACAAGAAGGTATTTATAGTGTTTTGACTGGTTTAGACAAGATATTAATGGGTTCGGATGACCATGTAATTAAAAAGTTATATGGATATTTACTTGAAGTAAAATTGGAAGAAGAACAAATCAAAGAATCAATGATAGCATGGGGGAAAAAAATTTGGTTATAGTATTGATTTAGAGAAATGGCAAAAATTGTGGTCACATAATTATAAAATGACAATGTCGACAGCATATAAAGAGAATTTGTATAAGATGTTTTACAGGTGGCATTTACCCCCGACGAGGATAGCCAGAATGTTTAAGAATAAATCGGAGAAATGTTGGAAGTGTCATCAAACTCCAGGATCGTACTACCATATGTGGTGGACATGCGTGGAAGCAAGGAGATTTTAGACTAAAATACATACATGGTTAGAAAAAATGACAAAGAGACATATTGACTTTAAACCAGAAATATTTTTATTAGGAATTTTACCAGAGACATTTAATAAAGAATTACAATACTTAATTGTGAACCTTTTAACAGCGGCCAGAATTGTATTTGCCAAAAACTGGAAAGGAGAGAAGATAATTACTGATGAAGAAATTATTATGAAAATGTTGGACTGTGCTGAAATGAGTAGATTGACATTTGAAATAAGAGAACAGGAAGATAAACAATATTATTTGATATGGGAGATATTTTATCAATGGTTTGACAAAAAAGTATGGAGATGAGATAGCATATATGAAATGTTTAATTTTTTTTTTTTAAATTTGATTTATACGCCGCCCTTCTCCGGAGACTCAGGGCGGCTTACAATGCATTAAACAAATATTTATCTTCAGTTTAAGTAAAGAATAATTGTTATATTATGAGATCTGGAAAATTGTAAGCACAAAATGATTTTAACCGATTGAGATGCTGTCTATAATTGTTTGTAAGGATAATATTTTTATGCTGCTGTTTTTTTTATTTTAATCTAAAATAAAACTTTTTTCAAAAAAAAACACAGTCAAACTGAGTCAGAACATCTGATGGCAGTTTTTAATCTTTAAAAAAATATGGGTAATGGATCAAACACATATTTAGCTGTTGAGACACTTATAACAATGCTATGAATCAAGAGAAGACAATAATAAAATATATTACAAATAATAATTTTCTTATAATGCACACAATATATTTTGTTCTTAGTTTAGAACAAGGATTCCTAAACTTTTTGTCATCACATCTTCCTTTAATATAATTTTAATGTTTACAATTCGGCCAAAACTCCAAACTCCAAAATGAACCCAAATGAACAATGCAAATAATAGAATGAAACTTTAGAAAAGATGGACTTATTAAAACAATTTAGAATTTTAGTCATTTAAAATTATTATATGAGAGTCATAAGATTTTAATTAATCAATTTTCTATTAATACACCCTTTCTTAAAGATACCCCAATTTTAAGAGATTGGACAACCATTTGTCTGAAATAGTAATAGGGTTTCCTGCCTGAGCAGTGGATTGAACTAGAAGACCTCCAATGTTCCCTCCAGCTATTTATTTTATTTTATTTTATTTTATTTTATTTTATTTTGTTTTGTTTTGTTTTGTTTTGTTGTGTTGTGTTGTGTTGTGTTGTGTTGTGCTGTGCTGTGCTGTGCTGTGCTGTGCTGTGCTGTGCTGTGCTGTGATATCAGAGGCGGGTTTCAAAACTCGTTGCTATTGGTTCACTCGTGGGTGCGTGCAACATTTCTGGCACAGAAGTGTCCAATCTGGGGCAAACCGGTAGCAATCCACCACTGTATGCTATGCTATGCTGTGCTGTGCTGTGCTGTGCTGTGCTGTGCTGTGCTGTGCTATGCTATATCTTGTGTCAATGATTTTGCCTGGTTAATTGTACATTGCATGAATAATGATTTTGTTTTGTCTCTTTTTGATCTTCTTCCAGTACTGTACCAATCTGATATTCATATTTATTTATTTTTGCTAATAATTGCTAATAATTTTATTTATTTTAGTTTATATAATGTTTATATAATTTGGAAAACATATTGTGATTTATATTTTTTTTCTTAACTCTGTCTTTAGTATGGCTTGTCCAATGTATTTATTCCAAAGACTCTCCTTAATGATTCTTTGACTTCCTTATTTCTAAAGCTATATATTATAGGGTTCAGCAGTGGATTGATAACAGAATAAAATATAGAAATTAGCTTATCATGCTCTGCTGAGTAACTGGATTTTGGCTTCATATACATGAACATTCCTGTTCCATAATAGATTATCACCACTGTCAAATGAGAAGAGCATGTTGAAAAGGTTTTCCATCTGCCACTAGTGCTGTGGATCCTTATTATTGCACCAATAATATAACCATATGAAATCAGAATCAAGATAAAGGGCAGCATTAGTGTCCCTAGGCTACCAACTAACATTAATAATTCATTTAAAGAGGTATCAGTGCAAATCATATGCAGTAAAACAGGAGCCTCACAGAAAACATGGTTAATGACATATGGGGCACAAAGTGGGGGCAAAGAAAGGTAGAGTGGGACAACAGAAACTAGAAAGCTAACAATCCAAGAAGCAGCTGAAATTCTAATGCAGGTTTGGAAATTCATTATTATGGTGTAACGCAGGGGGTGACACACTGCTAAAAAGCGGTCAAAAGCCATCACAGCCAGGAGGATACATTCTGCTGCTCCCATGAAGAGAGAGATATATGTTTGTGCCATGCACATGTGATAGGATATGACTTTCTTGGTCAATATCATGTTGGACAACATTTTCGGGATCACAGCAGTGGTATAGCAAAGATTAAGAAATGCCAGATTTTGAAGGAAAAAGTACATGGGAGTCTGCAAATGTGGATCTGTAGCAGCCAGGATAATGATACCAATATTGCCAAGCAGGATAAGGAGATAAATGAAGAGGAAGATGGAAAAAAGCACTGGCTCCAATGTGGGGTGATCCGAAAACCCCAAAAGGACAAATTCCCAGACTTCAGTTTCATTCATTTGGTTCATTGTATTCCATTGAATGCAGTTATTGAGGAAACTTGGAAAATAACAAGAAAAAAAAAGTCAGCATGAAAAATAAAGGATTTGGTATGATTGGGGAAGAGTGGGTGGAAAGCAGGGGAGCTACCATTATCGATCCTAAATTTAAGACCAAAGGATTGATTAACGAAACTATTTTCTTCAGTGCATGGTTATACAAATTGAATGTGCCTTTGAACCCTATAGAGTCATTCAATATCCTAATTGTTTGCATTCTAATTTACAAAAGTGGCATTGATTTCTATGCTGCAAAGCATAGCACAGAATGTCATAATAACAGAGAAACAGCAAAGAGAGAAAGAGACAAAAATGCAGAGAAGGAGGGAAGCTGAAGTATTCATTTCATTTGTATATGTTTTCTGATACATCATTAATTCATAACTGACACATTCCATGAATTTCAGTAAGGGCTACAAACTTAATCTAGATCCAAAACAACAACTTTGTTGAATCAAGAAAGATAAAAGCAGAGGCTTTGTTACTTTAATATATTTACTTACCTACAGGCTGATCCTGCATTGTATTTTTATTTTCTTTCTTGGCATGTTTACCCGGAAATAAGTCTAACTATATTTAGAGGCTTTCCCCCCAAGAAACTGTATGTAGGATTACAGTCTTCTTTCCTTGTGACAATAAAACTATTTTTCTAAATTTGTTCATGAACAGCAATTTTAAAAAAAATCTACAATTAAAAAAAAAAAAAACCAGCATGAACAATTAGATTGCAATACTCTCAGTGGTAATTAAAATAGCATCAATTTAGGCATTTTTCCTTTTTTCGACTTCCCTGTACAAATTGCAACTGACAGTTTATTTAGGTCCTCTTGTTGTTTAATATTACTAAATTGTTACTTCTTTTCCTATTCATAGACCACACCTTTTGTAAAAAGAGACTAAGTAAGACATTAATAGTCCTTTATTTTTTCCTCATTTACTCCTTTTATATACTTTTATACTTTTATAATTATATATTTATATTACTTATACTTTTACATATTTTATTGAAAAAAATGTTCATATGCATTTGTCTCTGAGTGTTAAACTATTAAAAATCTATCCATGACATAAAACTAAAGCATTTTTCTGAAAGTTCAATTTATGATTAAATATTAGTTCAACTTATGTATTATTATTGGGGGAGGGGAGAATTGTTTCAAATAGTTTATGTAGTGGGGATGAGAAATTAATCCTTCTCCAATTGTTGCTGGATTAAAGTTACAGAATGTTTTCATTATTTTTATTTACCTCTTTCAATGGTATTAGTTGAAGATAGATGACAAATGAACAATTATGATGATTGTGGCTACTGATAGTTAAGTTCTTTACCATAGATATTTGGAGATTTCATGTTGTCAGAGTTATTGCTATGATGTTTCAAAATAAGACAAGTTGCAAAAATCAGCTGTATGTCAGCTTTCAAAAGCAAATTATATTATATTAGGATTTATTTTCTTCCTTTCAATCTTTTCCTTCCTTTCACCTTTATGTGTATTCATTCAAAGCATTAACTTTAGTACAGTATATGTAAATCAAAGCATTAACTATATTAGTTATTTACAATAAAGGACACATATTATACTTATGGATACAATACTATGGGACAATTTCACTAATAAGTTAATTTCATAATTTTAAGATGAAAAGTTACTTATATATTTTAATAAAAACTGAGAGAGAGAAGAGGAAAGGGAAGACAAGGAAAAGGGACAGTCTAGCATACTTCATATACTTAAGATCTCCTAAAAATCAATTAACCTTATACCATCTACTAAGAATCCTTAGATGTGACTGACTTCTAGCATTCTATTTATTTAAGTATCTAAGGAAAAAAATTGAACTGGATTAAATAATGCAATTTACCCATATATTATCCATATCAGTAGTATATGAATTCAGAAGATGTTACTAAAAACTCTTGCATATGGCAACTTTATTATTAATGTAAGAAACTCTCAAGTGTCCAATTAATTTTATCCAAACTCAAAGGAGATTCAGCAAAACTCTCTCTGATACTTTGTCCCCCCTCTCCACTGCCCAAATTCATAGGGTTAAGAAAATAGGGATTAAGAATACCAATAGATTGTTTCTCTTTTTAAATTGTTTCAAGGTTTCACTATTCAAAATAAATTCTATGTCTATCAAAGATCCTTTCTGAATAGGTGGAAGAGCAGAGCAGAAAATATAGTATGAAAAATACCCAAATGAAGGGCTGCATTTTGAAACAAATTACTTTATTTTTTGAAAAGCAACATTGCTCATGAAATCTCATAATGCTTCTTTTTGAATATTGAGGGTTATCAGATGTACAAACAGAGAATATGTCATGGTCAATGCAATAGAAAATATAATATTTTAATTGCATTTAATAACTATAAGAGATGATCCAACTGAGCCCAAGGGTTGAATCAAATACATTATCAGTTTGGAATCTTTAAGCCCTCATAAGAGACCTAAATACACACATACACACATACACATCCTTTGAAGTCCATTAACTCTTACTTGGGACCAATTTACCTTGATTATTAGTAGTTCATATTCTTGTGTATAGGTAGCATGAAATAACCTTGTAATACTTTTAAACTGTACCCTGGTTCCTGACTTCTTGAACCTGACAGCAACTTCTCAAAGATCTCCCAAATATAAATTTATCAAAGAAAAGGATGTTCTATTTTGTACAAAAAGTCAGTACAAAAATAAGCAGAAATTATTAATGTGAATATTGACAAATTATAAAGAGGGAGAACGAAAATGATGTTTGGTAAAAATAAGTCTGTACAAAAGAGCATAGTGGTGTAGTGGCAGTGGTGGGATTCAATTTTTTTAACCACCTGTTCTGTGGGCGTGGCTTATTTGGGTGGGTGTGGCTTGGTAGTCATGTGACTGGGTGGGCATGGCTAGCTGATCATGTGACCGGGTGGCCATGGCTATGTGTATAGGGACTGCAAAGAGGGCTGAAAAAAGTCATTTCTGACCAGTCCTCGCACTTTTGACTGGTCCTCATAATTATGACCATCCTCACATTTATGTCTGTTGCAGCATTCTTAACAACCATGTCACTCATTTCACAACTGCTTGTCTTCATCATGGTGACAAGATAGGGCACAAAACTTAAAATGTGAGAACAGTCGTAAGTAAGGACCTGTCAGAAATAACTTTTTCAGCCTTCTGAGTAGTCCATATGCACAAAATGGACTAATCAGAAGAGGGCTGAAAAAAGTGATTTCTGACAGGTCCTAGCACTTTTGACCGGTCCTTGCACTTATGTCTGGTCATCATTTATGCCCGTTGCAGCATTCTTAACAACCGTGTCACTCATTTCACAACTGTGGTGCTTCATGTGACTGGGTGGCCATGGCCAGGTGGTCATGTGGCATCGCTTCTTTGCCCTAATGACAGTTTGCTGCAATGGTCATAAGTGTGAAAAACATTCATAAGTCACTTTTTCCAGTGCCATTGTAACTGTTGTAAATCAAGGATTATCTGGACAAAAATACAAAAAGCTTCTTTGCTTGCAAAAAGCTGTCCTAAATACCAATCATTAGATTAAAAATACATGCAAACTGGAGTTACAAATCAGGGAGGGTACCAGAGCACCTTGAGGAATTAAAATAGTTAAAATGCAATAATAACTATCAGCAGCCAACTCTTGCTCATAAAGTGAAACCCTTTAGCAGAGAGGTCATTTAAGCTCTCCAGAATGAAGCAAAGAAGCAAACAGAATATCTGTTGCTTGTTAAATCAAATACCACAACAAATAGACACGGAACTAGTCAGATTTCCAAAGCTGCTTCGTTTCAGGAACAGAGATTGACATTTTTCCTTCCAGACAAAGCTGAATAGGGAAAATTATCTCATCACTAAACACAGGATTAAACATCACCAAGCACAGAATTAAACTTCACCAAAAACCATTTTTAAACCAAAAGTCAGAAAGGGTATGTAAACTCATGTTTGAATGTCAATCTTTCTAGCTAGCCAAGAAGCCTTGCTGAATATCACTCATCTTGGTTCCTTGTCATTAAAAGCTTCTGCTTCGTTATTCAATTATTTCTTCAAAGTACTGATCATTGCACCCTGGCTGGAAAAATTTCAACAGGGGACTTTTTCCTCCCAACAGTGGTGTAAAAAGCTTAAAACAACCCTTCCTCTTTAAGGTTTAGGTTTAGGTTTATTAAATTTGTATATTGCCCTTCTCCCGAAGGACTCAGGGTGGTGAACAGCCAAAATTAAAATATATACAGTATAAAAATTAAAATAAATTAAAACAGAATTAGATCAGTTTGGCTTCCCCAAATTTTAAAACCCTTTACCCATAAAATAGCCCATTAAAATTTTAAGCCAGCCTGGCTTGCTGAAATAAGAAGGTCTTCAACGCTCAGCGGAAAGTACAGAAGTCCGGGATCAGTTGTATTCCTGGGGGTAGCTTGTTCCAGAGTGCAGGTGCCCCCACAGAGAAGGCTCTCCCCCTGGGGGTCATCAGTCAACATTGCTTGGCCGACGGCACCCTGAGGAGACCCTCTCTGTGGGAGCGGATTGGCTGGTGGGAGGTTATCTGTGGCAAAAGGTGGTCTCGTAAATACCCGGGCCCTAAGCCATGGAGCACTTCAAAGATAAGAATCAATACCTTGAAGCGCACCCGGAAGATCACCGGGAGCCATTGCAGCTTGCGCAGGAGAGGTGTTACATGGGAGCGCCATGTCGCCCCCATAATTACCTGCGCAACTGCATTCTGGACCAGCTGGAGCCTCTGGGTGCTCCTCAAGGGGAGCCCCATGTAGAGAGCATTGCAGTAGTCCAGGCAAGAGGTGATGAGGGCGTGAGTGACCATGCATAAGGAGTCCCGATCCAGAAAGGGACGCAACTGGCGTATCAGGCGAACCTGATAAAAAGCCCCTCTGGCCACAGCCGTCATATGCTCTTCTAAAGACAGCCATGCATCCAGGAGGACAGCCACTCGGTCTTGGAGGGGTTGAGTCGGAGCCTGTTCCTCCCCATCC